ATCTGTCCTCGCTGGCACACCACCCGATGTCTGGCTCTAATACCAACTATAACACCCTTAATTTTGTTACCTTAATTAGAGACGTCATTACATGTATGCCATAATTAACATATCCGGACATTGAAATAAAACATTTGCAAATGAAGCTATGAACTTGCACATTTAATTTAAAACAAGAAAATAAAAATAACATAGTTTTTAAACACGATAAAAGTTTCGCCTATTCCCCATAGGGTCGAGACTTTATCCAAAATAACATGTGTAAGCTTGTCAGTGCAACAACCCACCACTATTCAAATGACAGTGTGACCTTTTGTTATCTTACGTAAACCTAGAATGATTTTCATGACATAATCTCTCAAGTTGTTTGAACATATCCTTTAACAACTCTGCAAGTGGCCTACTACGTTGAAGAATTTAACCAACTTGAGATTCACTCACTATGCATCACTAATTTAATGTGATATCCACATTAAGGATGAGGCAAATAATCTCAGGTTCCTTTTGTAAATATGAGGTAGGATGCTTACTTTTTCAATTGCCTTAGTATTCTAACTAGTTATCCCTTCATAATATCATTAAACTTTACTAACCTTCGTATATCATATAGCACATCCTTGTACTATGACTGAGGTTAGCAAATTCTTTAACTTTTCAAAGTTCTTCCACTGACTCATTGTAGGTGTGAGTTGTGCTTGCATGTATTGAATGAGTCAAACTCAAAATTTTGAACAAACCTTCTACATTGTCAAAGTGAGGGAACGTACAACTTTATATCTCCGAATACGTCTAGACAAACTACGATTTGTTCCTTGTTTAAAATGGTTCACTAGACCACGTTCTATAACATTCAATGTCTAAAGAAAATATTTTTGTTCAACTAAGACTCTTAATCGAAGAGTTTGGTATAACACTCACTATATAGAGGTATCAAGTTTGCTTAAGGGCTCATCTTGTTAGCCTTTTAGTCTCTGATTAGCCTCCGATTATCGATATGAATACTATTATAAAGCAGGTCTATAAAACCTCCTTGAATATCTTTTCACAAAAATTATTTAAGCGGTGAGAAATTAGTGAGCCCAACACCATCACTCTAACTCACACAACTATGTTGAACTCATAGAAAACCTTTTAACCTTGTTTTCTTGGTTCGTATGCTTGAGGGAACCCTTGTTTCTTCATGAATGGGTGTTTTTTTGTCACAGCCCAATATTTTACTACGGGCAGTGACTAACGACACGACACAGATGCACAAGAGATTTAAATATGAAGTAGCGAAAATCATCAAATTTCAATAAAGTTTTTCGAACGATAAACACAGAACACAAGACCGTTTGGAAAATAAATTTAAAAAGAATGCGAATACAAAAATGATGACTAAGACTGGACTGACGCCCCGGGACAACCCATTCCTCTGTGACAATTCCCTTCAGATCACGCCCACTCTTGACCGATGCCTCGCGCCCCTGAAAAAAAAAGAAAACATAGCAAGGATGAGTATAAAAATTATACTCATTAAGCCACCTACTTGTAGGCTCTTTTCGCATCTTAATTTAGCAGAACTCCCACGGTTTCCTAATTCGGTTCTAGGACATCGGGTTCTAACCTTAGTCTCTTGGGGCTTGCCCCTTGGGTTTCACCGGTTCATCGTCCTTTCATTAGTCACCTAGAGGTTCCTTATGCCAAGCTAATATGGTCGGTATCTCTCTATGAGGCGCTACCTCTACATGGCTATCTAGAACTACATGGTACCTAGCCTAGGGGTGTGCTGAATACCCCTACGCCCATATAGTCCTCCTATGGGGGGCGCGACCCAACCCGTTCCCATGCAGCTAATGGGCTGTATGACGTGGGGACACATTTCCCATGCGAAATGGCTAAGAACAGTAAGGACTGATCAGGGACCCTTGGTCCTCCCACGAAGCTATAGATACCGTTCTCACGCTAGCAATCTATGAACCCCCTTAGGTACTTTCTTACCGTGGTAAACCGCTAAGTTTCTAGGGGAAAATTAAGTCTGTCTAGAGCGGCATATCGCTCCTAAAAGAAATTCCCTAATCTTATCATAGAAATGGGCCCTAGCAATTAACAGAGGGTGCATGCAATCTTCTTCTAACATCATAGTATGTAATTCATGCAAACTAGGCATACCGGCTCAACGGGGCGATGACCTCCATCAAGCACCCAGAGCACGAGGTTCGCGTTCAATGGGGCAAATTCGTCCATCGAGCACCCGAAACCCGGCATACACAATTCTAACATAAATTAAACGCATGCATACGTACAACGGAAGCTTAAGGCATACAAGCAACACTCAGATAATTCACCCAACACATCGTAACAATCCATCTAATTAATCTCATTCATGGAGAGCTAATTTAAGGCAAAATTACTAACATGCATACATACAATTCCAAGCGAACCCTACAAGTATTTCTTCCTAAATACCGGGTGGTGACTTACCTGGTTGACGCGTGCCCCTTCGCTAGCGTTTCTTTGCCCGTGAGGTGTCCAACACTACTGATTTCTCTAAATTAAGTCCCTATCCACGTAAAAACAGTATTAGAACTGGAGCCGGGACAAAAATTGAGAAATCAGAAAACAACCGGGCCAAACTGGCCGTTCCACGCGCGCTCACGCGCCCAGCAGCACGCTGGAAGTGCGTGGCCACGCGCGCCTGCCACGCGCGCCCAATTCTGNAGAAGCATACGCTATCACCTTACCTTTCTGCATGAGCACACACCCCAAGCCTTTCCCTGATGCATCACTGTACACCACGAGATTACCTGACCCATCTGGAACCGTAAGGACTGGTGCAGTTACCAACCTCTTCTTGAGTTCCTGGAAACTCTGTTCGCAGACTGGAGTCCAAGCAAAGGGCTTGCCCTTCTTGGTTAGCTGAGTCAGCGCCGAGGAAATTTTGGAGAAATCCTGAACAAACCTTCTGTAATAACCAGCTAGCCCAAGAAAACTCCTCACCTCTGTGACTGTGGTCGGCTGTGGCCACCTCATCACTGCTTCTATCTTAGCTGGGTCCACTGTGATCCCCTTGCTTGACACCACGTGACCCAGAAACGCAACTTCAGACAACCAAAACTCACACTTAGAGAACTTGGCATACAACTGCTGAGCTCTCAGTATTGTCAAGACTTTTCTGAGGTGTATTTCATGATCTGCCTCTGACTTAGAGTATACCAGAATGTCGTCGATGAACACTAAGACAAAGGTGTCTAAGAATTCCTTAAACACCCTGTTCATTAGTTCCATGAAAACAGCTGGTGCATTGGTAAGGCCAAAAGACATAACGAGAAACTCGTAATGCCCATAACGACTTCTGAAGGCTGTCTTGGGTATATCCCCTTCCCTGACCCTCAACTGATGATACCCCGACCTTAGGTCAATTTTGGAGAAAACCGTTGCTCCCTGTAGCTGATCAAAAAGGTCGTCAATTCTCGGGAGAGGGTACTTATTCTTTATAGTGGCCTTGTTTAATTCCCTGTAATCAATACACATCCGCATGGACCCGTCCTTCTTCTTGACAAACAGAACNAGCCCCGACTCTGTCCAGAATCTCGAAGGGGCCTATGAACCTTGGGCTCAATTTCCCTTTCTTCCCGAACCTCAACACCCCCCTCATAGGGGCCACCTTCAGGAACACGTGGTCACCCACCTCAAATTTGAGGTCCCTTCTACGCACATCTGCATAGCTTTTCTATCGACTCTGTGCGGTGAGTATCCTCTGTTTGATTTTCTGCACCGCTGCGTTGGTGACCTGGACCAACNTGCAGGTGCCATCCTGTAAGGTGCCTTGGAGATCGGCACCGTTCCTGGTTCTAAATCGATCCCAAAATCGACTTCCCTAGCTGGGGGCAAACCCGGCAGATCCTCCGGAAAGACATCTACGAACTCCCTGACGATGTGTACCGATGAGGTTTTTTGTTTGTTACTATTATCTAAGGTCACGCTGGCTAGGAATGCAATTGCGCCACTACGAATCAACTTCTTAGCCCTTAGCGAGGTTATGACGCTCGGGACACCTTTGGAAGTGGCTCCCTTGTAGGTAAAGATGTCCCCTGACGGGAGCCTGAGAGTCACTATTCGGGTCTCGCAGTCTATCAAAACGCGATTCCGCCTAGCCAATCCATACCCAAGATGACATCGAAGTCTTGCATCTTTAACACTGTCAGTGTAGCTTCGATGACACGCCCTGCTATCGTTACTCCACCTCCCTTCACCCTATGGGTAGCTAGCAACAGCTCGTGAGCAGGGGTAGATACTGATAGGGTAATCTCTAAAAGTTCTTTCTCTAGCTGTGCTAGCTCTACAAACTCTTCAGATACGAATGAATGCGTCGAACCCGAATCAAACAACACTAATGCAAGATGACCAAATACGGGTAGCGTACCTGTGACAACCGCGTCAGGCTGGTCAGCTTGCCTGGCTGTTGTTGCATGGGCTACAGCTCGCCCCTGCTGATGTTGGCCAGCTTGGCCCCTCTGATGCTGTACTGCAGGCAGGTTGACACGCTGATCGTTTCTCTGAGGGCAATCCACTGCAAAGTGCCCTACCTGACCGCATCTGTAGCAGGCGCCTGTTCCTGCTCTGCATTCCCCCGTATGAGGACGCCGACAATTAGGGCACGAGGTCATGTTCCGTACCGGGGCACTCCCTCGCCTATCAGTGCGGCCACGGGGTGGTCTGCCAGTTCTGGGGTGGCTAGGGTATGCCCCCTTTCCCTAGGCCGCAGTGTGGGATGATTGTGCTATTCCCAACTGAAGCTTGTCGGTACGGGGCGAGTCGAGCAGGGTCGCCACCTGAAGGGCTTTCGTATAGACAAAGGATGACTGGGATGCCACATTCCCCCTTAGTTCTTCCCTCAGGCCAACAATAAATCGTTCGCCCTTCAACTCCTCAGAACTAACATAGGCTGGAGAAAACCTTGCCAGCCTATTNTGATTCCTTCGGCAACGTTCTAGATCGTGTTACAGGCTACGTCCTAGTATTCTTTTTATAATTTTTTTCTTGACTATCGGAGGATTTAAGAACGCCGGAAGTTCGCTCACCGTTCTCGGATGACCCTCGGATCTCTGCCTTTGGGTTGAGGTCTCGGCCAAACTTCTTCACAGACCGTGCGTGAGTTGTTCCTAGGTGAAGATTTCAACATTTTAGGGTCGATTCACGTAGGGGAAAACTCAGATCTGAGCAATATCGTTCAGAAACCTTACCCCGCGAAATGTTCTTAGGCTTTGATGGTGCGTAGGCCTTGATAGCCCCTCAATCCTGGTACGAGTCTCGTCTGGAGATGGATTCCGGCGGTGGTCCGTTAATCTTCCCGGCCGACCTCTCTCTAACCTCTCTCTAACCTCTTCTTTCTTTTGCAGGCAATCTGGCTGGATTCTCCTTGGACCCCTATTTGGGTTGGAGGGGCAAAATGACATTTTTGCCCCTCAGTTGACTTAGCCC